CTATTTGTTGTCCAAAAAGTTTGCTATTTTTAAAGATCATGTATAGGTGCATTGAAAATACATTTGTGCCTAATCTTGCTGTATCTGGTTATGCTATGTTTGGTTGATATCTCTGGGAGGCCTTTCCGAACGGAAATGGAAAAGGAATGGATCTGGGGGAGAGGAAGGAGGGGTTACTGGAATGAGTGGAAGGGGGGAAACTATGGTCAGGATGTATTGTATGAGAAAAGAATAATAAAAAGAAAGAAATAAGGAAGGAAGGGAGGGAGGGGAAAGGGAGGAAGGGAACGAGGAAAACTACAGGGATTTCAACACAGGTAATCACTGTCTTTTGTAATATAACTCAGAAATCTGTGCACAAAATAAGTCAATAGTAGCATATAAAATTTCAAAATATAAGTAAAAGTATAAAAGTGGAGACCACCAGTTCTGATGGGAACACACCAAACCACCAACAAAATCTTTGATCCATGCAGAAACGTTTTATCATATCCTGGACAGGCAACTTGCACCCTTTGAGACGGCAGAAGCTTTAAAGTTGCCTGAATATCACTTCCTTTCCAGGCAAGTTGCTTTTAGAAAACTTCATTCTTTTTCAAGTGTTCTTGGTGAGTGACATTTTCCTTCCTGTAAATGTGGTTAGCTGTTCTTGGCTGTGCCTGCAGGAAAAAAAGCAAGGCAAATTCATGGCTTTTCCATAAGACACATCTTTAAACTCTGCTACAAATGATTACAGTTATCACTAGACATTCTTTTTTTAGGTTCTAATGTTCAATTAGGAACACCTGTTTCCCAGGAAAGGCATTTAAAGATGGATTCTCAGTTTCACTATCCTTTGATTCTAGATGTTTAGTCAATGTTCTACTCCAATTCTACGGTCAAGAACTTGTATAATAGTTGATATTCTATCTGATGTGTTCATACAATCCACTAAATAATAACTTGTAACATCTGGTGATGGCTAGGGTTAACACACACATTATTTGGAGTTGGTTACATCCATTTTCCTCAATGCTTGGAGACTCATCAGCTTGAAGGAGAACTTAGTATCTCTGTGTGCTTTCTAATGTGTCCTCCCCACCACCACTCACCCACATGCACTGGACTTCCTTAGGGAGGCTCAGTTCTGCCCAGTCCCTGAACCAGTATGACCACAGTCAAAACATAGCTGGTTTACACTATAGAATTAGAAAGAATGTTGGACAACTGAGTACAGCTCATATAAATGCACAGAGATTGAAACAGCAATCGCAGGGCCTACATAGGGCTGCATCAGGTCCTCTGCATATATACTATAGCTTTCCGTTAGTTTTCCTGAGTGTGTAAATGAGTGGGTCTCTGATTCTTGTGCCTTCTCTTGGGGCTCTTTTATTTTTCTGTTGGCTTGTCTTGTCTAACTTCAATATGATGGTTTTGTTTTATCTTACTATTTTTTTATGTTTTGTTGTTATCTCTTAGAAGCCTATCCTTTTCTAATGAGATACAGGGTGGAGGTCTGGATGGGAAAGGAAGTAGGGAGGAAAGAGAGGGGAAACTGTATTCTGGTTATATTATATGAGAAAAGAATCTATGATTTATAAAAGGGGGGAAAAGAAATAATGCTTGAGATATACTAGAGGCCAAATTTGTGTCCATGTGATCAGTAAATTGCAGTTACTGTTCAAATTAGAAATGTTTCTAGGGATTCGTTTTATTTACTCCTTTGATTATCTTGATTATTAAATGTGAACATGCATTAGACCCTGGTTACTGAGAAAGGGAGAGAGGGGGCAATATTTGAAAGACTGGGAAGGTGTTATAAGTCCCAAATGAATTCCTCCCAAATTCACTCATCCTATGTTTCTGTTCAGAAAAGGTCAGGGCCTCTGCAAGTATCAACAAGGCATGGAATATCAAGTTTCAGTAGACTAGGCTCCTCTCCTTGTATTAAGGCTGGGCAACATAACCCAGTATGGGGAATAGGTTCCTAAAAGCCAGCCAAAGCGTTAGGGACAGCCCACAAGTAGATCAAGCTACACAATTGTCACATATACGTAAAGGGTCTTGGTCAGTCTCATGCAGACTCCCTGGTTGTTGGGTCAGATTTTGTGAGCACCATGAGCCACGGTTAGTTGTTTTTGTGGGTTTCTTGTGACATCCTTAACTCCTCTCTGTCATACAATCCCTCCTGTCTCTCTTCAGCAGGATTTCCTGAGCTCAGCCAATGTTTGGCTGTGGTTCTCCTCATCTGTTTCCATCAGTTACTAGATGAAGGCTCTCTGATGACAATTGGGATAGCCACCAGTCTCTGAGTATAGCAGAATATAATTAGGCATCATTACGTTGATATTTTTTTCTTCAATCATGTTTGGTTCTATCCTAGGTCTCTGAACCATCCAGCCTCTGGGGTCCTGGCACTGCAGGCAACGCCAGGGGTGGACTCACTCTCATGGTATGGGTCTGAGGCTGGACCAGTCATTGCTTAGCCACTCCCACAGACTCTATGCCACTTTTACCCCCAACACACACACACACACACACAGAGGCAGGATCTTCATGTAGATTCAAGTTGGACATCTGCTTCATTTTGCTTTTCTCCAAACAACTTCTGCTGCTATTTCGTACAAGGTTAATTATTCAGAAGCAAGTTGTCTTTATTTATTGTTTAGCATAGAAAAATTGTTTACATATTTATTTCTTGTATATTTTTTCTTACTTAAATGTTAATTTTTCCTTTAACTGTTAAAGTAGATATTATTTTAGAGCAGTTTCACTCACAGCAGTGTTGTATGGAAATTGCCCATTTATTCTCTGTGTGTCACACACCCCCACTTGCATAGCCTCTCAGATGATCAACCACCTGAACCAGACTGCCCACAACTAAACACTGTACCTGGAAACACCATTATTTTCCACATTCCACAGTGTGTTTCACTGTCATTTGGTTCTGTGTTTGCTGTCATTCATAAATATTTGTCAGCCGGGTGGTGATGGTGCACAAGCCAGGCTGTGGTAACACATGCACTTGGGAGGCAGAGACAGGTGGTTCTCTGAGTTCAAGGCCAGCCTGATCTACAGAGTGAGTTCCAGTACATCCAGATCTCTTACACAGAGAAACCCTGTCTTGAAAACCTGACAAAAAATTCCCAAGACCAACATCAAAGTTCCCTATGTTCAGTTAATATTTACATGTGCTGTGGGCTATGGGTCTCTTTCTATCCTTCTGCATGTGCATATCCAGTTTCCGCAGGACAGAGAATAAAAGCAACCGCTGCTTTTGAGAGGCATGATAACATGAACAGAATACCCTGAAAACACAAAAGCAGCAGCAGAAAGAGACAGAAATGATGAAAGAACTGATGCAGCTTACAAGATACAACACACACAAAAAGAAACTGCGTCTCCAGATTCATTCAGCTATCAGGAGAAAGAATAACACCACTGTTCCGTGCAGTAAAAGGACAAAGTATCTTGGGATAAAAATCAAATGAGCAAGTGAGAAACCTGTATGCAGATACCATAAAACCTTACAATTATGTTTAGAATTTCACCTCAGCAAATAACCTTTTAAAAGAATCAAATTTTAGTACTTTTCCTCCCTTTTAACGTGTGAAAGTGTGCAGCTAATCTAGTTTCTCAGAGAAAAATTAATTTCTATTGATTTTGTGGTGAGAGTCTAATGTTTTGCTCAACAAATTGTATTTAAAATCGCCATGGCATGAAAGAAAGTGATATGTATGCATCATCCCTTTATTAGACAGTAAGAGAAGCCACTGATATCTGCCTCTACATTCACTGCATTCTCTACTGATGAAGAGTCCCAGTATAAAGAGGCACGAGGCGTATTTAACAGAACTCTGATGAGTATAAGAAGAGAGAGAAAGAAACCGTATAATGAAGACAGGTCTGGTGAGAAGGAACCATCTCATCACAGGGGAGAGGGGGGAAAAGTGGAAAGATATTCATGGTAGGGAGACTCATCATAGGAGACATATTTGTGATTGTATTTTTCCTACGATGTAGCTATAGGTTCTCAGTCCTTTGTGACAGATGACAATGGGTCATGGGCAGGACCTCAGAGACTGTTGTACTATCCATATACAGTGAGTTGCGTGAAAATGAGCAGCCAGGGCCAAACCAGTGAACAGAACCTGGGTACTCCTTCCTCCTACTCTACTGACTGCTCAAGACTAAGAAAAGAAGTAAGTGAAAGAAAAGGGGGTGGCAATGAGAATATAACAGCAGATTCCACATTGGTGCTCTTGCATCCTCAAGTCAAGACTATGAGGAAGGCAATATGATCCCTACAGGGTTGAAAATATACTATCTAGAGCATTGGTGGCCTGAATTAAGTCACAAAACAGACAGGTGGAAGGAATGTGATTCAAGCAAAGGCCACATGACTACTGCTCCAATCATCTCTTCACTGGGTAAAAACAGAATGAAGAATAGGCCCAGAGAGTACAGCTGAGTTGAGTAGCTAAATATAATATGGAGACTATGGTTCGGGAAAGTATATAGAATACTATGGAATAATGTTTTAATTCATGTTCTTTGCAGTGTAGTGGGTTTTGCTTTTTTACTTCCAAAGCCCTAATCCCATCAGCACCAATAGCTACACTCAGCTGGTGTGTATCTCAGATCTTTATAGCACTATTGCTGTTTGCTCCTTGTGGTTTTCATCACCACAGTGTTCACCACCGATAACAGGAAATCCTATCAGACGATGTGATACACAATGTAGACAATTCATTGTAGATAACTGGGTGATAATCTGTCCTTCTTGTAGGTCCTGCTGTTCCTGGAATCCAACCTGACTGCAGGTATAGAAGAAGGGCTCTCTGTATCTTCAGGCTGTGCCACCACAGCAGAGTCAAGAGTCACCAGGAGACAGACCAGAAAGAAGGCAAAGAGCCAGGCTTCATTCAGCTTTGGGTTACTCTGTGGGTTCAAGTGACTTCAATGTGCCCTCTGTGATACCAAGCATTGAGTTGTCTTCTGTTTTGTGAGTGTGAAGGGCTATGGACAGCTTCAACACCAGTTTAGAAGGTGGCTTCGTTTTGATGGGCTTCTCAGATTGGCCTCAACTGGAACATGTCTTTTTTATCTTCATTTCAATTTTCTACTTCCTTACCATCCTTGGCAACTCCACCATCATCACAGTCTCACGAATGGATCGTCGACTACAAACGCCAATGTACTTCTTTCTCAACAACCTCTCCTTCCTGGACCTCTGCTACACCACCAGCACTGTACCTCAGCTTCTTGTCAGTATTTCTGGAATTGACAAGACCATAAGCTATGCTGGGTGTATGACCCAGTTCTTCACAGTGCTCTTGCTGGGTGGAACTGAGTGTGTGCTCCTTGTGGTGATGGCTTTTGACCGCTATGCTGCTGTGTGCCGTCCACTACACTACACTACCATTATGCACCCTCTTCTCTGCCAGGCATTGGCCATCTCCTCCTGGGTGGGAGGCCTCGTGAACTCCCTGACTCAGACAGTCCTCATCACGACCATACCTCTCTGTGGTCATCACCTGGACCACTTCTTCTGTGATATGCTTGTGCTCCTGAAGCTGGCTTGTGAGGACACAGAGAGAATAGAGGACAACGTGTTTGTGGCTGGAGCCATAATTTTGGTTTGTCCTGTAACACTGATTCTAGGGACCTATGTACTCATTGTTCATGCAGTGCTGAAGATCAAGTCAATGGCTGGGCGCAGGAAGGCTCTGGGGACTTGTGGGTCCCACCTCATGGTGGTTTTCCTTTTCTATGGCTCAGCCATGTACACTTATCTCCAACCTGTCCGTGGATATTCTGAGAGTGAAGGGAAGTTTGTTGCCCTCTTTTATACCATAGTTACTCCTATGCTGAACCCTCTGATTTATACCCTGAGAAACAAGGATGTAAAAAGTACTCTGTGGAAGGTGTTTGGGAAAGGAATAGACTAGGAATAAGAGAAGAAAGGTGTGTGGATAAAATACTGTATAACATCTCTCACACTGTCAAGAATTCTGTGCCCACCATACTTCCCATTAGAAGTGAGACATAATATTTTCTGGGGTGGGGGCAAGTCTGACTGAATATATTTCCCTAGGGATTTCTGTTATAATCTATGCAAACTTGGCTCTACCTCTTGGGAACCTGGCACCCATGGCAGGCAGTACCCTAGCTCTGTACGCAGGTGCAAAGGTCCTGCCTACTTTCCCTCTGTCTCTGCTGTTTCCAGGGAATCGTGGGTACGGACATGGCCCGTGTCCATTGTCCTGGCCAATGTTAAATAAAGCTTGCTTTAAATAAACAATCATGGATTTGTTCTTTCTCCTTGAACTTTTTAGGGCTAACAACATGAACACCCTAAAATACTGAGACATCAAAATAATAAAATCCTGAGGTCTTTTGACAGCATGGATGAACAGGAATGCCATTCTTCTGAGTGAAATAAGCCATGTATACATAGACAGTGCATAAACACACTCACATGGAATCTAAAAACTGTTCTCATAACATGGTAAGTTGGACCAGTGAGATGACTCAGTGGACAAGGACATCTGCTGCCAAGCCTGATCACCAGAACTTGATTCTGAGAGTCACATGGTGAGAGCAGAGAACCAATTCCCTCAAGTTGTCCTCTGAACTCCACACTCACAGCGTGGCATGCATATGCACTCACATACATGCACATACATGTACACACACATACACAAATTAGTAATTTTTATATTAAAAAAACTTTAAGTTAGCGGTTAAATGGTGGTTACCAGAAAGAGTGGAATGTAGAGGGAAAGGGTGGGAAATAGACACTAATCAGTTGATAAACAGTTGCGGTTAGATTGGAGTAAGAAGTTGTAGTGTGTTATTACATAATAGTGTAAGTATAGTTAATCATAATGTACTATATCAAAAAGCTCGAAGGGGGCTGGTGAGATGACTCTGTGGGTAAAGATGCTTGCTGACAAGCCTGATGACCTGAGCTCAATCCGAGGATTTACATGATGAAAGGAGAGAACAACTCCTGAACGTTGTCCTTTGATCTTCACACATATGTAGTGACATGGCAGGCATGCATAAACACACACACACAATAAATGTAGTAGAAAATTTTAAAGCTATAAAAAGAGATTTTTTAAAGTTATCAGGAAGAATAATAAATGTTTGAGGGAATACACGTACTTAACCTGATTTAGATATTATGTAATGTACACTTGTACAAAAACATTATACAACATACCCCTAATATGTATAATTCAAGCTTTATTCTTTATGTATTATACAAATTGTCATATATATTCTAAGTGTTTGTTTGCCAAACCTTCATAATGACAGTCACATATATTCTAGATGTGTGTTTGCCAAACCTTCATGATTATGGGCAGTAGTTTTCTATCAAAACCTTGAGGGGAGCTTTAAAAACTTCTCTTTCCTCTGTATCCTCAGCTAAATAATAACTAGACCTATTCTGTGACTTGAATGTATATCGAACCCATCTTCTGCTCATCCTTTTGGACCCTAGCATCCTTTGATAAGCCTCCCTCTCAAGCACACCATAGTGCCCCAAGTTGTACTCACAGTTACCTTTTCTATAGACTAACGTATAAGATGCAATAATAGAACCTTACAGGCTGGTGGACTACTGTTCTCCAATTAGTCCTAGACCCCCTCATTCCCCTACTTGTAATCTGTGCTCTCTTCCTTGACTGATTCAGCCTCAGCTTTGTTAAGGAAAGATCATGCCCATGGCAAGATCCAGAATACATTCAAAGCAGCTCTGCTGCATGAAATGTGAGATATTAAATATCCACCTAGCAATGTTGCAGGAATATCTCTGAAAAGGTCTAACAAATGAATCAATCATATGCCATTCTGGGCCCCTAATGCAAAGACACATCCCTTTCTGCTTACCAGATACAAATATCACATTGCTAATGGACTCTGGTAGACACTTGATGCATAATCAAGGGACACTGATTGTGTCACCTAACCTGCCTGTCACAAATGATACTATCTTAGGCATATGTGGGCATAAGTGAGGACTGTATGAAGAGTCCAGAAAAGGAGCAAATTTGAGATGTGAAGAATGTGGTAGTCTCTTAAGTGAGACACGGAATTTGTCTGATTGAGGAAGGGCTGGTTAGGATTGAGATCAAACTAGGGAAGTGCAAGGAATCTCAGGCTGCAGAGTCCCATGGGAAAATAAGAAGTTGTGTTCTGAGGCAACTGTAAATACCTCAAATTGGTCTGGCAGAGCATGGGGAGAAGAAAACTGAGGGCTGCAGGGCAGATCGTAAAGGACCAATCATTGGATCATGATTTGCCACAATGGGCCCAGTAGTCTCCAAGGCTGTGCTTATTAATTAACTCACCCTCCACTACTTTATAGAGTCCTTTAGAAGAAGTGTATTGAGGCCTTAGGTCAGAAAATGCGGGTGATACACCAGCTAAGTCTTGGGGTCAGAAGGAGGCAAAGGAGTTGGAGTTAAGAAAGCAGAGGTTGGGTCAGAAAGATGCCTGGCTTTGGCATCAGCAATCTCTGCTCTTGGTAAGAAATTGGACCACATGCTGTGGTAATTTCTCTAAGATAGTAACTCAGGGTAAAGATGGCATCAGGAGCCAAGTAGAAATATCTGTTTTATCACAAGTGGCTCCCACCAGTGTATAGTAGATCTCATCTATCCTTGACGCCAATAGAATTGGAGAAGAGAGCAACTGTTTTCTGTCCTTGAGCTCCAGGTAAGTGCAGAATGGGTGGCTAGTCAGTCTTGACTTTAAAAATCTAGGAAATGAGAAATAGTCCACAAGGTAACTAGCACTTAGCTCCATCACACTGGATTCACACAGTTAACGTCCATCAAAAAGCATGTTGTATCACTCATAGACTAACTGGATTTCCATCACTTGTTCACGCCCTCTCTATTCTGTACAAGGCATCAAAAACATTCCCTGCATCATTTTCAGTTTTAAACTTTATCAGTTGTATAAAGTTTTTTAAAATATAAAGTATAAGTCTTGATATAAAATTGTTTTGAACTCCCTTTCAAAACTCCAATGCTACAATGCCAAAGCTCAAGTAAATCAGAAGCATCACAGTCAGGAGATAAAGGAAAGAAGCATTGGAGGAGTTTTTGGAATACAACAGGAAGAACTTACTAGAAAGGGCACCTAAACGGAAATCTATCACAAATGGAGACAATGTTGCGTGTGGAGAGTCACAGTAAAAACAAGACATTTTAAATTCACTCTCAGTGTCAAATGCACACACTATAGTCAATCTCTGGTTTTATGAATTATATTTGAAAATGGAGGAGTCATTTTTGGGTATTTGATGAGTCTTATAGAATACCTCAAGTCTACTGGGCTAAAAGGGGACACTGGGTAGTTTCTAATGTGGAACGGATGGGGTCCAGATCAGAAATCAACTAGATCTGTAATAATGGAGATGGGTAGAAGGATTGGCTCATGTCTAGTAAGATTTTATATCATGGTCTTTCTCTGAAACATTAATGCGGGATCTATGTGCACACACATCCATACATCCATACATACTTAAAGGCGATGAAACCAGTTTTAGTATCAAGAAAACATGGTCTGAGTGTTCCAAAGTCTGTCATTCTTTGCACAGTGTCAAGTTGTGCCTCGGCCTTCTTTTTTTAATGTAAATTCCTTTATTAGGTTATGTAACACTCTGTTTGCCTAAGGAACCAGCAACTACAAATATTTTGGCAGTGACATGTACAACCACAGAAAGTACAGTTTTGTATGGACACTAATGGCAGAGAAGCAGTAACAAAACCAGCAATTCTCTCTTTTATTGAGTAACCACTGTGTCTCTTGTGTTACTTCTTGTCTCCCTCTGGCTTATAGCAATCTCTTCAAAACTAGGCTATCTAGTTTTCCTAAACTTTCTAAATATTTTGTACTTTCTAATGAGTGGGCCTCGTCTTTCTTAACATCACCTTGGAGGTTAGATTTCACATTATGAACTGTGTGACCAAGGACCACATCAGACCAAGAGGAAATAGCTTGTTTGCTTTCCTGTAAGGATTCAATGATATCCAATGTTCACGTTATTGCACTACTGCTGCCAAATTCCTTGAAACTATTACCTACTGAAGTGATACTGCTGTATATTAGTTATTGTTCCTTTTTTCTACAAACAGCATCATTTATAAAGCAATATCTGTATGTTGTGTCTATCATTTCTGTGGCTATTCATTTTATAAAACTGCTTTCAACTTGTATTTTTCCAGTAAATGATTATCAGAACACACACACACACTCCAAACCCATAACCAGGAATCATGATATGAGAAAAAAATCTACAAAACATAGCATTTAGTTTGTTTAGTATTGGGTCTTCTTATGAGGCATGAGGTTGTATTAAGTATGGCTTATATATGCAGTGAAATTCAATTGGAGAAAAGTAATTTTTCCTTCTTAAGCGGTTATCAGTTGACGATGTCCTCTCAATTAGGAATAGGAGCTTTCTTTCTACTCCCCCTTTCAGATCTGGTACCAGCCTGACTTGAACCTGTGCAGGCCCCATGCATGCTGCCAAAGTTTCTGTGAATTCATGCATGAGTCAGTCGTAGTCTGTCGGGAAGGCCCTGTTCCCTCGGTGTCGTCCATCCTCTCGACTCTTACAATCTTTCCTCCTCATCTTTCCCTTATTTTCCCTGAACCTTGAGGGGAGGGGTTTGATGAGGACATCCCACCAGGGGGGAGGGAGGACACCGCGTGAGCAAGGCCCTCTAAATCAACAGAGCAAAGTGCATTGCATATGAGTTCATGAAGCCTGAAGCAGCAAGCACAGGGTCTGCGTGGGTTTGTACCGGGTTTGTACCAGGTCCGCTGCGTATGTATTATGGCTGCTGGTTTAGTGCTTTTATGAGACCCCCAAGAGAGGGAATGAGTGACTCTCTGATTCTTGTGTCCTCTCTTGGTCTCTTTTCCTTCTGTATGTTTGCCTTGTCCAACTGCAATTTTTAATTTTATCATATTACATTATATATTTTATGTTTTGTTATCTTAGAAGCCAGTTCTTTTCTAATGAGAGACAGACATTAGTGGATGTGAGAGGCGGTGGGGAAGAACTGGGAGGAGTAGACAGAGGGGAAACTGTAATAAGGATATATTATACAGGAAAAGACTATATTTTAAATAAAAGAGTGGAGAGTGTGAGTGTGTGAGAGAGAGACAGAAGAGACAGAGACATGGAGAGAACATTACTTGCCTTGGATTTCCCAGGTAATCAACTTTTGCAACCTAAGCTAATGAGCAGCTTATGGTCCCTTCCATGCCCTG